GATGTGCATCTAAGGCCAGAGAAGCATAGGGAGTGCTTTAAATGTGCAAAAAAGTATCAAGCCATCCATCCCTCTATTCATTCATGCATTTATTAATCCACCCACACACTGATGTATTCATAAGTTGCCGCACACTTGTGCCCATTACTGAAGCTGTGAAAACCCCTGTGTTAGAAAGGCTCCTGTATTGTGCTCCTGCATGAAAGGCTTTGGACTAAAGCATTTTGGATTTTTATGAATATTCCCTCAGGAGCTGCACTCCAAACACCTCACCGCAGTGGATGTGTGGGTGTGAGTGAGTGATTGTGAAGCCCAATGCCATTTCAGCTAGAGTGGACACACACATGCGCACAAGCATAAGCTCACACTCACTCAGATGTGCGCGCACACACACACACACACACACACACACACACACACACACACACACTAATTAAACTTTCTGTTCGGCTGCAATATAAAAGAACTGAGAAAAAGCACTAGTCGGGTTTCCATGGCATTTACTGATGAGTCATATCTGATGGAGATCAGGAGTGTGTGTGTGTGTGTGTGTGTGTGTGTGTGTGTGTGTGTGTGTGTGTGTGTGTGTGTGAAATACAGTGGACGTCATCACTCAAGCAGCGTTTGAAATTATAGTCCATTAAAATTATATATTTCTCACCATTTATAAATATATATATTTTGAGGAATGTTGATAGTTAAACAGTTTTCATTCCTATTGACTTCTGATTTATTATTTGCTCATGGGTCAAATATACATTTCACATCAGTCTCTGTACAAATTAAATGCAAGTAAAATTTCTACATAAATGTTTCATATAATAAAAGTATGATGTCAAAATATGACTGAAACAATGCATCCTATTCAGCTATACAGAACTACTTAGTTAAAAATTAACATATTTTGATCTACACACCGGCCACTATATTAGGTACAAAACTACCTTTAGATTCAACAAGGTACTGGAAATATTCCTCAGAAATTTTGCTCCATATTGACAAGATAGCATTGTGCAGTTGCTACAGATTTGTCGGCTGCACATCCATGATGTGAATCTTCCGTTCCACCACATCTCAAAGGTACTTTATTGGATTGACCTCTGGTGACTGTGGAGGCCATTTGAGTACAGTGAACTCATTGTCATGTTTAAGAAACCAGTCTGAGATGATTCGCACTTTATGACATAAAGCGTGATCTGAAGATGGGTACACTGTGGTCATAAAGGGATGGACACGGTCAGCAACAATACTCTGGTAGGCTGTGGCATTGACATGATGCTCAACTGGTGGTAATGGACCCAAAGTGTGCCAAGAAAATATCCCCCACACCATTACACCACCACCAGCAGCCTGAACCGTTGATTCAAGGCAGGATGGATCCATGCTTTCATGTTGTTGACGCCAAATTCATCTCTGAATGTCGCAGACGAAATCAAGACTCATTAGACTAGGCAACGTTTTCCAATCTTCTATTGTCCAATTTTGGTGAGCCTGTACTAATTGTAGCCTCAGTTTTCTGTTCTTAGCTGACAGGAGTGGCACCCGGTGTGGTCTTCTGCTGCTGTAGCCCATCTGCCTCAAGGTTGGACATGTTGTGTGTTCAGAAATGCTCTTCTGCATACCTTGAATGTAATGAGTGGCTATTTGAGTTACTCTTGCCTTTCTATCAGCTGGAACCAGTCTGGCCATTCTCCTCTGACCTCTGGCATCAACAAGGCATTTGCACACACAGAACTGCCGCTCACTGGATATTTTTTCTTTGTTGGACCATTCTCTGTAAACACTAGAGATGGTTGTGTGTGAAAATCCCAGTAGATCAGCAGTTTCTGAAACACTCAGACAAGCCCCTCTGACACCAACAACCTTTCTTCCCAATTCTGATGCTCGGTTTGAACTGCAGCAGATCGTCTTGACAATGTCTACATGCCTAAATACATTGAGTTGCTGCCATGTGATTGGTTGATTAGAAATTTGTTAACGAGCAGTTGGACAGGTGTATCCAATAAAGTGGCCGGTGAGTATGTATATATAGTTTATATATAAGTCTATACTAACACAAGTTATACAATAATGAACAAAATGTCTTTTTTATCTACAAAATTAAGCTTTTTATTATTGGACCAAATTGGCCGCATGTAAAATGATGACATAATAATGAAATGTGATGTTATTCATAACGTCAAAAACTTAAAGACCAAATTGAACCAAACAGTGAATGAATCGTTTAAACAACCTTAAATGATTCACTGAAAAATCTGACACATAACAATGTAAACCGTGACCATAAACCATATTCACAGAGAACAAGCTGAGGATTTATGATTAATTTGTGTTCATGATGTTTTTTACCACTGAAATTTACAGTCTTTGTTGCAAAAATGACTATTATATAAGTGAATTATTAACTAGTCTAGCCTTTTGGACTAATCATTTTTTTTCGAGGTGCTCCATTCTTTATGAGCTCATAATGCGCATGATAAATATTACATCGCAAATCTTAATATTAAAAGTAGACTTATACTTACTTTAATACATTTTCATCAAGTTATGTAAAATGTATTTATATTTTAACAATTTAAATCATGCAAGCCTGCAATGTGTGTGATCTAAAGTGAAATATTTCTGAGCAATTAATAAGGTCATAATGATAATCTTGATGGTTCTCCAAGTTCATTTAATGCATAAATGGCCCCCAAAATGTTGAGGACACACACAAAAAAGATGATAATCAATGTGAAAATGGCTCATCTGCATGGCGATTCATCAACATAGCTTAATAAAGTAGAAGACATTTATGACTGATTTTGTTCTGCTGTAATCCTCAGTGCTAATAGAAGGACTAAATGTGAATTTAAGGTTTTATTCTGATCATATTTCATGTAATAAAAAATAGTTTTGTGATCAAATATGAGCATGTTTGTGAATTGGAATTTGGATATCCTCAAAATGAGTAAAAATAGTGGTAAAAAAATACAGTCTGACATATAGATGGATATAAATACAAAGATTTGATGTGATTTAAAGTGAGACACTGCAGGCAAAACACAGACGCACAGACACATTTTAAAGGCTATCTCAAAATGAGTTTTTGTCTCCTGCACTGAGCCATAAATCTCCACTTCAACTCTTACATTAACCAAGCTTCACAGTTTTATTCATAAGTATATATTTAAGGCTTCTATAGAAGGATGTGCTTATACATAATTTATCTGATTATATATTTTATAACACTATATTATACAAAAACTGTAAAAATAGATTTTTTTTTCCGGTCGTTCACAGTATTTTCTAAATTATACAGTGCTAAATAAAGATTCCTTCTATAAAAACCTTTGACTTTATTGTTGCAAATTATCACATATTTGGTTTTATTTATTTCTAAAGTTGTAAACAGTCATCTGTTATTTACTCCAGAGCAAATAGATTAGACTGCAATGTTAAGTTTAGCTAAATGCTGAATGATGCTTTATTTATATTTATATTGTTGTATGTTGAATTTTGTTGATTAATAACAGACTTTCTGGATGGACACATCACTGTTTTGCTCTATCACTTTCTAATGCTTTAACACTTCAAATCTACATTATGAACACAGGGATTAAACTGTATTATACATTTTTAAATAGCGCTATACCTCAGCAGTCCATTGTCAGCAGGACTGATCGTTCCACCAGATCTTAAACAAATGGATGTTTGCCATTACCGGCATTCAAAACTGTTATGGACAGAGATCTTTCTTTTATGTATTCACAAAAGCCTGGAATGAGATCCCACAACATCTAAAAACAATACCAGTACTGAGACTTTTTAAAAAAAATCACATGCCCGTCATCTGATGGGCAACTATCGCTGAAGCCACTGAGATAGTAGCCTGCTTTTCTCTATTTTATATGTTTGGTGATCGTTTGTACTGTGTTGATGGATGAAATGTCTGTCTGTTTTTATGTTTTGCAGAGCAGGAACCTGCTGAAAAACAGCATTCATTCGAATTAGGCCAGATTATATTTTAATATTTTCCTGTTTCAAAAATTATCATTAGGGTTAAATAAATAAATAAATAAATAAATACATTTTTTGTAGCACACATTTTGTACTGCTTAAACACGACTTGAGCAAATAAAATGATGTTACATTGTTCCGCCACAAGATGGCGACAGAGACAGCACAATAACCTGGGTTCTTATCGTAACGTTAAATTTACTAACGCTGAAAATATCAATATAGAACATGTTAGAATTTTACATTCTAAGTCGATCTCTCTCTTTTGTATTTTATATTGCTGTATTTACACCATAGTGATCTAGTAGTGTTTGCTTTGCTTTGGCTCTTTCTGGGTTAATTTTTGTGAAGTCGTGAGAAATACAGGGAGATCTCATGCTTTAAATTGTAAGCAAAATAATCTGTTTTGTCATCATGTAGACATTACAATGCGCTAGAGAATCATTCAAATACTAGCTCTAAAGTGACGTTGGTGAATTAGCTAGAATGGCTAATATGTTACTTATACAAAAGGGTGGGACTTGTTATGTTTAACTTTCTCTTTAATACACAGGATTATGGTGTCGAACTGTCGTATAAATGCAATATCACACTTGTAGCAGTGTGATGTTGCTGTATATCGTCAATGGTGGGGAGCACTAAGGCACTCAACCTGCAGCCTTGAGCCAACGCACGCCTCCTACCAGTGCTGATATACAGCCATATCGCACTGCTACTCATGTGGTATTGCTCATATATACACATACACACACACCCCTATTCCTACCTAAAACATAAACTTCTACCTTACCAACTATTTATAAGCAGCTAATTAGCAGTATTTTAAGCTAAAAGTCTTAGTTAACAAAGAAATAAAAGTCTTAGTGACCAAATTATAATTTTATTTGTACCTGATTCACCCGCAGTTGATAAATATCCATGTGTGCATTATATGTCAAGTTCGACTGGATGTTGAACCCATAAAAACTACATTTCCCACAATGCTATTCAGCATTACTTACAGCATCCTCCTCTCCACTCCGACTAGGGCTGCCCTCTGCCTCACCAAAAGAGTCATCGGTGGGAGGGTCACTGGCGTGGGATGAGGACTTTGATGGAGAACTCTGCCGAGGGGCCGGGGTGGGTGCTGTAAAGAGGAAAATCACAGAATTACAGTCAGAAATGGGCCAAACTGAGTATATCTTACACTTGTTTATTGCTTTAGCCGATTTAAGGCATGTAATGTGTTGCAGGGCTAAAAAGGTACAAACATATTTTTCGTCCTCTGGGAATATAGTAGCTAAATATCGGTTGCAGTCTGACAGGAAGTGCCTTAAAATATTCACACTTACATTAAAAGAGGCGTATTTGTGATCAATTATACATGAAACAATCTCTTTTTCGGGTTCATGCAACCTTAAACTGCTTGAAGAAAACATTCACTTTCGCAGTTCAGTGTAGTGAACGCTTCACGGTTCTTGAGTTTTGAAATCACCGTTATGTTCATATATTTAATGTGGCAGTTCTTGTTTACAGCTTACCATGGGTCTTGTTCTGCTTGGTCTCAAAGGATGAACAAAGTCATGCCCTATTTTTTACTTTTTACTTTGACACTTCAAGGGGGGAGTATTTGGATTGTTTTGGACAAACAAATCAACAGTGTGATTAAACTTCTGTATTTTAGGCCAAAAATGTCAGAGAGGTTTTATTGATGCTATTTACCCACAACACACACCTCTGTCTTTAGTGTAGAGGTTTGTTCTTCGTACATGGATTACTCTATTAGCTGGATTTGGATATTGACGATTTAACACGATCCAGGAGTGTTCAGCTCTTCAAAACTCACCTGAGACTTGTTGTCATAGCAACAGTACTGGTAGCTCAAACCTGCTTGGTAGCAGGTTCATTTCAAATAAACAGAATTAGATCGTGTCAGTTCAAGCAAAAATAATACTGAAAGTATCTACTAAATGCTGATATTTTCGTAATTTTCGTAATTTCGTAATTATATTTACTTGATTATATTTATATTAATATATATATATATATATATATATATATATATATATATATATATATATATATATATATATTAATAAAACTTCTGCAATATGCACTTTGAAAAAAAAGTACAAGGACTGCCACCTAGTGGTTCACAGAGAAATTTTATTGATATAATTTTTTTTTTAGATACAAACACATACATGCACAATATTCAATGTTTTTTTTTTTTTTAAAGGATAATAATTTGGGCAGTCATGGACGTGTTTTGACAGCTAAAAAGCTGGTGATTGACACCTTTTGATGCAAAATTAATTCATGCAGCTATTCCTTACGCCAATAAAAAAAAAAAAAAAAAAAAAAAAAAACTTGAGTAGGCCTGGGCGGCTAAAAAAAAAAATCTTCTCTAAATGTAGAACTAAATACATTGATATGCATTGTAATACATGTTGAATAATCTTGACACATGAAAGTGTAAAGCCTGCAGCTCACAACAAATGTGGAAAGTTACTGCGTGTCATATTTAGTAAACAATTTACTGCAAATATTTTGTAATTTTGCTTACATGGATAATCGAATATTAATCAGATGATGTCATTATGCTGCTGTGCCATCAGCCAATCATTGCACTGCTGATCATGATTTCAAGGATTGATAGCTCTGTCCTTCAAAACACACGCAGCGATCTCTGATCAGTTCATCCAGACATTTTAATCTGATTTGTGAACTTGTTTGAAGAACCAAACTAGCTAGAGATCAGTTATCAAGATTAAAATATCCAGGGTCTGCCAAATCATCTTGGATCATTTAAGTGAGGTACGAAGAACGGACCACAGGTCAGGGAAAAGTAGGGTTTGTTTACTGATGTAGACTGAGGATGTAACATCCATGTGCATCAAAATTCCTTATTGAGGCTGAATATGCTGAATATAAATATGTCTATTACAAAAGGTCTGCCTGTGTGATTTGTTGTAGCATTCAGTTGATATTTAACATTGAAACATACTTGAAACATGTTTCTATGGGATTGTAATATAATATTTTATTTTATTATTATGATTTTTTTTTCATGCAAACTAGTCATGATTGGTTTGATTAAACATCTGATTTGGAGCAACAGACCTGCCATAAATATAAAAATTACAAACTATTTTTATTTTGTTTATCGATGAGCCCCCAGTTGGGTGTTTTGACTGTGGTCTTGGTCTGGGAAAAACAACATCATCTATTTTGTTCACACTGTTTTCACGCTTGTGTTTGCCAAAATGGTAAAAAAAGAAATAGTAATAATAATAATAATAATAATAATAATAATAATAATAATAATAATAATAATAATAATAATAATAATAATGGATCTGACACATTACATTTATAAGAATCAAAGTTTCTCATTGACAACTGATACATATGTATATCATGGTAGGACTGCTTGTGTGAAAACATGCAATGGTCCAATCAATTCACAATCCCATATAATCCATTTAACAAACAATAAATAAATAAATAAATAAATAAATAAATAAATAAAGTTGAAACTGTAGCAATATGTTCTTATGACCTTTCATGTAATCTAGTCATGGTCAGTGTGGCTTAAACTGTGATTTTGAGCACCAAAGCTGCCAGAAAATTTGAAAAAAAGTTTTATCTTTTTATATATCCGGGACGAGCCCCCGGTTGAGGTTTTGTCCTTCGTTTAGGTCAGAGGAAAATAACATATGCATAGTTTTTCACACCAATTATTATTTTTTAGACTTATATAAGACATTTTACTGTAAAAAATCTGACCAACACCCGACACAATACATCTGAGTAATTCTATATTGACAACTAATTGATGAGTATATCTCTCACTGCTTGTGTTCTTGATGAATAAAATCAAGTACCACACAAGCCATCTTATTTATTTTACTCAACTTCTCTTGAAGTATCTTTTACTCGAGCCTCTCCTCTTGAATGCAAAAACAAATATTTGCACCATTCAGTGGATATTTGCCTTGACACTGGATTTGTTTCTCGCAGAGTTTGTTTTCTTTTGTGCAAACTATGATCAGTGTGTAAACCTCGGCATCTGAGCTCAAAACCTGTCAGAAAATGTCCTGAGTGAATGAAAAGTCTCTTATTGACACCTAATAAATGAGCATGTGTCTCACGGAGGGAGCGCTTGTGTGCAAACGTGCGACGTTCCATCGCAGTGATAATTAGCACTACAGGAGCGCAAGGATCCAAACAGGCCCAACACACAGCGCTGGGCTCCCGAGAGATCAGTGATAATTACTTTGCTCGCCAGAAGCACAGCTGGGCCTGCGACTGACTCTCTCTTTCCCCCGCCGTCGTTCCCCACCGCAGTACTAATTGTCATTTTCACGCTGACTAAAGACAATGCCTTCTGGGCAACAGCATCAAAGCCCACCTTTCAACCTCTGAGTGAAAAAGGATGTGTTGATGAAAGACAGGATGGGGTGCGAGTTTGAAGTTCTGTAGTCGGAAAAGGATAAAGCCTGTCTAGCCGTGTCAGCACTCTTAAGGGCTTACCATGAGAAAGAAAGGCATGTGGTGCGATATCAACTTCTTCTATGTGGGATTCGTTTTCTTTGTTGATGTATTTAGGGTCCATGGAGCTACAGGATAATGTGATTCAGTTGGTCCTGAAACAGCTTTTTCTGATATAAAACCGTATCCCTAAACCTAGGCTCACTTTAAAAAGATATATATAAAGGGGCAGCATACAAACAACAAGTTTATTCCTTCCATGCAAACTGTTTAAGAGACCAGTTTGTCAGTTAATAAAGAATCAATTCCTCAGTTTATTGGTTTCTTAGAAAAATTAAACTCGCTCTTTAGCACCACACACTGGACATTTCACTTCAAATTTGCACATGCAAGAAGTAATGTTTTAAAAGGAATGTCTATTCAGCCTTGGTTTGTCTAAGAAAAGTTTTGATCAATATAAATAGCTTCAGAAGAGAACTTGAGGCCAGATTAGACTTTACTGCACACAATACAGCCGAGTCAGGTCTGCAGAGGTCAACTACCAAACTTTGGCTGCCCAACCACATTCGTTATTTTTCTCAGGATGCTACCCCATATGGAAACGTTGCATATGCATTTAGCGTGTTAGCCCATATGGAAATGTTGTCTGCGTGTTTAGCATGTTACCTCATATGGAAAAACTTGTCTGTTCCATTAGCATGTTAGCCCATATGGAAATGTGGTCTGGGTGTTTAGCATGTTATCCCATATGGAAAAGTTGTCTGTGCTATCAGCATGTTAGCCCATATGGAAATGTTGTCTGGGTGTTTAGCATGTTATCCTATATGAAAAAGTTGTCTGTGCTATCAGCATGTTAGCCCATATGGAAATGTTGTCTGTGTGTTTAGCATGTTACCTCATATGCAAAGTTGTCTGTGCTATCAGCATGTTAGCCCATATGGGAATGTTGTCTGGGTGTTTAGCATGTTACCTCATATGCAATGTTGTCTGTGCCATTAGCGTGTTAGCCCATATGGAAATGTTGTCTGCGTGTTTAGCATGTTATCCCATATGGAAAAGTTGTCTGTGCTACCAGCATGTTAGCCCATATGGAAATGTTGTCTGGGTGTTTAGCATGTTATCCTATATGAAAAAAAGTTGTCTGTGCTATCAGCATGTTAGCCCATATGGAAATGTTGTCTGGGTGTTTAGCATGTTATCCTATATGAAAAAAAGTTGTCTGTGCTATCAGCATGTTAGCCCATATGGAAATGTTGTCTGTGTGTTTAGCATGTTACCTCATATGCAAAGTTGTCTGTGCTATCAGCATGTTAGCCCATATGGGAATGTTGTCTGGGTGTTTAGCATGTTACCTCATATGCAATGTTGTCTGTGCCATTAGCGTGTTAGCCCATATGGAAATGTTGTCTGCGTGTTTAGCATGTTATCCCATATGGAAAAGTTGTCTGTGCTACCAGCATGTTAGCCCATATGGAAATGTTGTCTGGGTGTTTAGCATGTTATCCTATATGAAAAAAAGTTGTCTGTGCTATCAGCATGTTAGCCCATATGGAAATGTAGTCTGGGTGTTTAGCATGTTATCCTATATGAAAAAAGTTGTCTGTGCTATCAGCATGTTAGCCCATATGGAAATGTTGTCTGTGTGTTTAGCATGTTACCTCATATGCAAAGTTGTCTGTGCCATTAGCGTGTTTGCCCATATGGAAATGTTGTCTGCGTGGTTAGCATGTTATCCTATATGGAAAAGTTTCACAACATCAGTACAGAAAGTCTTGTATGTTTAACTTTCTTTTCCATTGTCCATGATCGGTTTCATCACATGTGACATTGACCAATTCTTACTTACAATACTTACAGGGCCATTTATAATTAAATTGATATTTAGCTCCATCGTAATGGTGATTTGTAACATCTAGTTTTTATGATATGAGGTGGGTAGTTAGCCCAATGTCAACCCTTAACCTGGAGGACCAGGACATACATACATGCACTTTGGACAATTTAGCTTACCCAATTCACCTACAGCAGACATATGTACACGCAAAGAACATGCAAACTCCACTCAGAAATGACAACTGACCCAGATAAGGCTGGAACCAGAGACATTCTTGCTGTGAGGCAACAGCACTACCCAGTGCACCACCGTGTCGCCCGACATAGACCAAAAGGGGCACGTAATCTCTTCCCTACACAACTTTTCAAAACGACAAAATGAATGAGAGAGGACTTTGCTGCTACAATGACTTGAAAGAAACTTTGTGGAGCACAACAGTGTGTCATCAAAGGACTACCACGACAGAATATAAAGATACATGTTCCCAATTTATGAACCTGGGAGAAGAGCCTGGAAGTAAACCTGGTTCAGTTGCAATCTGAGCTGCACGCAAACCTTTTTAATGGGCTCACCCAACCCCACACCTAACCGATTGCCTACTAAATCTCCTGCCTTGTCTTCATATTTCAGTTGAAAATATGTCACTAATTGAACAAAAATGCACATTTACGGGACTGTCAATGACAGCATGTGTGTCTTAGATGTCACTGAATCAAGATTTTATCTAGACAACATCGCTCAATCTGATATGGTGACTGTAGTAACCAACAGCTTGCGCACCTCACGTCTGCGGCTCGTACTGTATCAGAGTTGCATCAGTCTGTTAATTCACAAACTATGTGTGAACACTTTCAAATCTTGCATAGTTGTCCAAATGAACGTCTTGTGAGTGTTTTACAGGAGCAAGACTCAATGGTGTTTCAGAAGTGAACAGCTGTTCACTGTTTCTATCAGCGAACTCCAATAAAGTCCAGCTTTAAACCAAATCACCTTCAGATCGATGTTTCAACAGATTTAAGATTTTTTTTTTACTGTGTTTTACATTTAGGGTTAAGGTTAGGTTGTTTATTTTAATGGATATAGATCAATCGATGAATAGAAATCAGTCTAATTCATAGCAGCAGCATGAATTAGTTTCTTTGCCACCTCCTGTAGTTGTGTCAGGTTCCTTTACTAAAGAAAAGTACCAAATAGGTTGTAAAGAATAACTGAAGTAAAAAAATAAAAATAAGGAGCTTTAAATTGGTCTGTGCATTAAGAAAATAATAATAAAATATATATTATTATATTTTATATTATATTTAAATAAATAAAAAATAAAATAATAATATTATATATATATATATATATATATATATATATATATATATATATATATATATATATATATATATATATATATATATATATATATATATATATATATACAAATGCACAATGTTTAGAGTTTTTTTTTATAAAATGATGTAGAAAAATAGCAAAAAACGTTTTGCTATTAAATAAAGCTTTAAAATAAAGACAACCAGTTTGGTGGGCCTCAAAGTGAAAAAGGTTGAGAATCCCTGGTATAGTAGATACTAACAATGCTAAAGTCGTAGGTTTAACATGCAATTGGTTGCAGTGTTTTAACCTATTGCCCCCATTTCTATATAAACAACCCCAACCCTTATTGAAACCAGAGAACAATTGGCACTACTCACGTGAGTTGGTGGAGGGTGTGGTGGAGGTGACGGGTGTGAGGTTCATCTGCGAGATATCGAAGTCGTCACAGTCATCCGTGTCTTGCGCCATTCCCACTCTGCTGAAGTAGCTGGAGAAAGCGTCTGTGGTGCAGGATAGGCTAGGCTGCTCGCCCTTCCTGGCAGGCATGGCCGGTGGCTTTGCCATCTGGAATTCCTTAAACATCTCCTTGCTCATCTTTGCCTGTCTCTGCAGTGTGCGCTCTCCATGTTGCGGACTGGAGGCCGTGGAGGCCGAGGTTCCTGCCACGGCTCCACCCATGGCCGCTGTGGGCGTCTCGCAGGATGCCGGCACTGCCATAGGAGCCAGTGTCTGAAACATGGCAGCAGGAAGTGGTCCTACTGTCTGGGCAGGCATGAAAGCGGCAGGAGAAAAGTGAGCCCCAGCCATCGCAGCCCACTGCTGCTGAGTGGCAGGGAAAAGGTTGGCTTGACCCCAGATTAGAGGCTGAGTGCCCGGTAAGACCTGCGCAACTTGCACTGGGGATTGGACGCCAAACGCTAATGGAGCCTGAGCAGCAAACTGTTGCTGCGCCCACGCAGGTGGCACGGCTCCCATCGTCACATAACCTAACAGACAGAGACAAGAAGACTTTAGGTTCACAACATTATCGAATTGGATTTTCCTGCCAAGATGCTCTGGGAAAAAAAAACAGAAGAGACCCCCTGAATGAGCCTGGTTTCTCATAAGGTTTTTTATTTTTTTACATCCATTTTTTGTCACTCAATGACGGCTGATTTCCTTCCCACTGTAAAATGTGGCATACTTAAGCTCTTAAACATGTTCTATGCGGAGTGAGCATAGGGATTTACACCAAATACGATTGACACTAAATTACACTAAATAACACTTGATCCCCTCTGAAAGGCGTGAAAATAAGATGCTTGTTTGCGTTTAGAGTTGTGGGGGTAAATAGTTTGCATCATAATAATAATAAATACTGTACATATTAGACAACCCCTATAATTGTTCATATCAATGTATTATTACACACACACACACACACACACACACACACACACACACACACACACACACACACACACATATATATATATATATATATATATATATATATATATGGTCTAAATCAGATCTAGCCTATCAACGGACACTGCAACTTGTAACTGAGGTGTTTGTATCTACAGTACATATACAACCTACAGTGAAAGTAAAATCAAAGTGGTGAAGTAGGTAGTACTGTCGCAGAAGGTAGTGCTGTCGCCTCACAGCAAGAAGGTCGCTGGGTCGCTGGTTTGAACCTCAGTTGGCGTTTCTATGTGGAGTTTGCATGTTCTCCCTGCATTCGTGTGGGTTTCCCTCTGGTGCTCCGGTTTCCCCCAGAGTCCAAAGACATGGTACAGGTGAATTGGGTAGGCTAAATTGTCCGTATGAGTGTGTGTGTGAATGAGTGTGTGGATGTTTCCCGGAGATAGGTTGCAGCTGGAAGGGCTTCCGCTGCGTAAAAATGCAAGTGGTGCTCGCTGCAGAGCCATTTAGGCGAGCTGAGCTCCAGCGAGGGGGAGCTTGAGCTTGAGCTCCACCTTTTTTGCACTTCTTCTATGAGTGATGTCACTGGGGGTAAGGTTAGGGGTGGGGTTGGTGTACGCATTAAAACAGATTACAGGGGGAGGAGCGAGAGCTCATGCTCCCCCTCGCTGGAGCTCAGCTCTGCTCAAATGGCTCTGCAGCGAGCACCCTCTCTAAAAATGTACTGGATAGGTTGGCAGTTCATTCCGCTGTGGCGACCCTGGATTGATAAAGGGACTAAGCCGACAAAAAAAATGAATGAATGAATGAATGAATGAAAATCACATGTCTGTTTATTCCAAATATATTGAAAATAAGTTTGACTAATTAACTGCATTGGAAAAAAGAAGCAATATATTATAACCTTAAACATATTTTAATCTTCAGATATGTCTTTCAAACTTTCAAAAACAACATTTTCACAGTGGTGAAAAAGCTTTGTGCTTTGTACTTGCGGTACACAGTGAGGTAACATTACACACCTACTAGGATAGTCTAGTAACTCGTAAACAAATATAGGCTATATATATTTAAAAAAAAAAGATAATCTTTTTAAGGTAATAACATCATGAAATATAATGAAAGTGTGATGAAAGTAATATAAAAGTGTAGTTCTAAAATCTCAATACATGCGTTGAGTGTAAATTTGACATGACACATATTAAATTCGGTCTTACACTTTATGAACGGTCAGATTGATTGCTTTAGCCATTCTAGTAATTCCAGCATTAACTAATAGAATGTTAATCTTAATGTATACTAAACTTATGTATGCTAAAGTATGCGCACAGCCTTTCAAATTATACCCAGCTTGCAAAAACACAGGCACTTAACACAGTCTTGCTGTTTCCAGCTATTATTTTTTGACCAATTAAAATGTATCATTTTTGTTTTAAATATAATTGCAGAAATTTGTATTCCTCTCATTCAAGCATTCATCAATATTAACAGTATCTACTGTCTTCAGTAGTTTGCATTAGTTTTTGTTTTGTTTCATTTCCCGACTGTGAAATAAAGACTTGAGACTTGGCAATATATAACTCAAGGACATATGTAAGTTTTGCATAAAATGTAAACGTGGTTTATTTAACCATGCTGTGAGCAATTTCACATCATACTCTAAACTCTCCGTAATAAAGGTACGAAATCTGTCACTGGGGCGGTACCTTTTCAATACAGTTTTTTTTCAATTACATTTTTGAGTTGTATCAAAGGCTGTAGAATACACAACATGTGTCACTCGTATAGTTTTGAATGGGCAAATCTGTAAGGGTCAATATGGTTATTAAAAAATGTAATTAAAATTAAAAGTCCCATTGTCCCAAGTTGTCTCAATCTCAAGAATTGTGTTGTTTCATTTTAAATAAGTAGTTTGAACGGGCAAAAATAAATAAATAAATAAATAAATAAACTAATAAAAATTTTGAAGTGTAGACTGACAATTTTCCGGGGAAGAAGCTCCAACCAGACATGTGCTTTTAGACAGTTTCTGTGGTCAACAAATGCACTGTAATCTCAGCGAATACTTGCTTTACAGACATAAGAATTATATCGACATAAAGCTTGCAATCTCTACTTTTAAATGAACCAACTACACTTGAAAACAAAGGTTGTATTTGTGATGTGTACGAAACGAATGCTAGATACAGTCCAACACCTGACAGCAACCACTTTAACTTGTAAACAAGGAGCTGCTGTCATTTTGGGAAGAGAATCATCATCAAGACCAAGTTGTGAAATTCTTCAGAAGACCAGCGCAGTCTGATGAAGTTTTATCTATTCTAGAGGATAATAATGTGTAGAATGGTTATAAATGAGGTTGGTGTCGTGATCTCGTTTCTTTTGAGTGCGCATGCACATTAGCTCTAGCACCCTGAAAAAATGCAGATTTAGTTTGACTCAAAATGAATAGTGTGAGACAGATGCTGTTTAATTTCATAGGTGGATTCCAAATATGTAATGTAATCGTAAGTTTGACAAACAGTTTTGGAGAATTTGATGTTTTGGAGACAAAATGCCTGAGCATACTTTCCGAGAGGCGTTTTAAAGATGGCCGCTAACTGACATTACTTGCTTTAAAGGGTACTGTACAGATATCAAATGTAAGTTTTTCTTACAGTTATATTCCTATGTTTTTAAAATATTCTATGTTCAAAAGATTGTGGTACAAATAAAGGTGAGCAGAATACATGGATTAGTGTGCTGTAACCTTTAGCATTCACTAAAAGACCTTCAGTCTGCTGTCATTGATCTCCTGACGACTGGTGTAAAATGACCTCGATTTTCATAATGAAAAAGGTCTTTATGGCTCAGATGAACTATTGTAATTACTGCTCACAATAGGCCCAGGCTTAATGAATAGCAACGCCCTTTAAAAGAGGCCATTACAACAGTCTCACTCATATCACAGCCAGGCTTATTTCATTACACATCTCGCTCTTTCTTTCCAGTGAGTAACGCTGATTCCAATAATAAAAGGCCAAATGGTATCTTATCTGTCTGACATGCCACACACGCAGCAGGAGCGTGTCCTGAATGTAGCGAATAGTGAACAACTAAACAAGATTGCTTATATAAAGGTGGTGCCCTGTAGCTTTAAATTATTATTATTTTTTTTTGTAAATGCAATAAAATTAAATGAAATGATTAAACTTATTTTTTTATAATAATCTTAATTTGAGGAAACCAGACACAACAGAAACAAATAAACAAACATTCTGTGTAAATGTAAACATTACAAGTGATGTAAAAATCCCAGGTAGCAAAGAATTCTGGCCCAGATTTGTCAAAAGCAGGCACAGCAGGCATTCGTTTGGCACTGTCATACAGCAGGTGGGCCAAACATGTTTGGCCGAGGTGGCATTGTCTAGGAGGGGGCACTCAAGACTTGGGCCAGATGTCAAATGTAGTATTTTGCCCAGATGTTAAAAATGTATATGTGGGCCACGTAAGTTTGGCCTATCTTGACCCACTTTTAAAATACATTTAAATTATTTTTGATTAAAGAAAAATTCCATCATTCGGGTCGCTTCAAGAAAAAGCACAGCCATAAAGCGAAATGCTTCATGGGATTATAAAAAAAAAAAACCAATGCAGTTGTGACACACCAAAATATCTGGCCCAATTCAGGACCAGTTATGGGTTAATAACTTGGCTAAGACTTGGACCAGATATGGTCCATGTTAGCCTCTTGTATGGAAGCCAGACTTGGTCCAATCATGTACCGTAATTTACTGCGACATGTGGGTCAAGCAAACGCTGATGGTGTGGGCCGGATCTGGGCTAGAGAAATTTTGCTATGGGGGATATGTTTTTTTTTTTTTTTTAATATGTACTTTTTTAAATAAAAAGGTTTTATACAGTGGCCGAGAGAGCTTAACACGCTGCAATTTACACAAAACACCAGCAAATAAAGAAACAATCTTTATCAACTGTCAATTGTCTTTATCACGTGTTGCAAATTGGTCACAATTAGGCGTTTTGTGTAATTGCATGTGTTTTCTTAAATTGACTAATTATATCTGGCAATGTCTGACACCAGCGCATACACATTGTGATAGACATGCCAGGCACGCGTTAAGCTCTCTCGTCCACCGTAGTTTTGTTATTTTTGTGCAAACAGTGTCTACAAGAAAATTGTCTACAAAAAAGACCCTTCGTTAAGCCCCACCTTTCTTAGTTACTGTTGCTACGCCTGTCAAGCTTTCGTGCCTGGCATGTCTATCACAATGTGTATGCGCTGGTGTCAGACATTGCCAGAGATATAATTAGTCGATTTTGGCAAACAGGTGAGATATCCGAGAAAGCCAGACAAAAAAGGACTACAGTATACATTACAGGGGTATATTCACCACATAAAAGGCAATCGATTAGAAAATAATTTAATCAAAATTGAAGCTAGGTCAGCCTAGCCGCCTCCTACGCTGACCATTCATCAGCTTAGTTCATGCACAGCAAGAGAGGTGACATTTAAAAATAATCTAATATTAACAAATTAAACTGTGATTTCTCTATTTTTAGCCAAAAAGCCTGATGGATTATTTGTTGTGCAATGAAATATATCGTTACTAACCGACGAGGAAACAATCCTTATAAATTACTTAAAAACAGCTGAACCATATTGTTTTGGAAAATGTGGGTAAGCTGGTTTCCACTGACTTATTTCTAGTATTTTCTTGCTACCAACATCAACTGTTCGATCACATACATTTATCTGAATATCTTTTGTGTGTGTGTTCGACACAAGAAATAAATGAATACAGATCAATACAGACTAGTACATCATCAGCGTGAGCAGAAACTGACAGAATAAAAATTACCTCAGCAATTAGTTTAAATAAAATTAGTTGACTTTTTTTTGGTCAATTAAATCCTTGTCACTGCATTAACAGTGTATCAATGCAGTGTATCTAAAAAACAAGTGTTTTGAACCCAGCAGAGCAGCTGTCATGTTCCTGAAAGACTAGTTAATGTGTTTTTAATTTCTCTCCAGCACCGCCAATATCATGTAGAGACAGGAACATCTGACTCCACCAACATGACGGATCTGATGCTTTCCGCGCTGGATGCTGCTGTCAGGGCTGAAGTCAAGCTCATGCAATTGCTCTAACAGTTTGTGCTTGTCTGGAGGACCAGCGAGCGTCTCTGTATGCGCCTGGAGAAGCTCTGTGTGTGAATTTAAGAGACTTGTGCACGTCCATCATTCAGTGAGGCAGGAATAGGCTGTTTCTACACCTGCCCCGCTCCATTATGGCAGATATTTGAGCTGTGGATGCACCATGGGTAAATAGGAGAAAATTGTGGACTGTTTTTTTTTTTCTTCAGAATACTTCAGGAGAAAATCTTCTGGAGGATGACATTTAATGAATGTGTTTGACTGGTAAAATAAGGTTGTAGATTAATATCAAAATAGCCTTTTATTTTTAATATAATTCAAATGTATTATGTTATAAAATTATATATTCTTTATACTCTTCATATCTGGGGGCTTTTTTAGTTTTTTCATGACACTTAGCTTTTCTATAATGTTTTTATTAGTTGTAGTATTGTTTATTACATGCATATTTATATTTGTTTTATTAAAACAAACTTAGATTTGCCCACCTGTCAGGTTTTAGACCATATGGGGGACAGCATGTCTATTTGGATATAACTCAGTTTTTTGACCACACTTCGTTATTATTGTTCATTTATTTGTTTGCTGGAAAATAGAACTGAATTTAGAAATAGTTTTGACAAAAATCATTGCGCTTAACAAACTAAATTAAATATGTAGGCTAATAAATGAATGTGCGTACAACACATTTCCTTATCCATGGAAGAGAGTGAAAGTGAAAGCAAAGAATGAGGAGGCTCATCTCTCATTCTCATGCTGCAGATTGTTTGTTTAACTGTTTTGTTTGCTAGTTTTTCCACTTACAAAGTCCGCCAAAGTCCACTTACAAAGTCCGCTATATGGTGCGACGCAACTGACTCTTATAGGGAATTAGAGATGAGACTCTGATTGGTTTATTCTCAAAACACACCTTTAACTCATCAAGAGAATAAGCTCAACCCTGTTAGACCATGTGCCACAGCGCAAAGCTAATTTTTCCGTCCCTGAGATAGCAAAAGTGGATTTGCACACGCCCTTAATGCTTTTGCACCCTGCGCTTTGCGCCAAGATCGTTAAAATAGAGTCCTAAAACATTAAAACTTTATGTATTAAATGAACTAAAGCTAAAATGAAAATGGATGAATGAATGGATGAATGAAAAAACAAACCAACCAACCGACCGAACGACAGACCGAACGACCGACCCATCAATCAATCAATCATTCAATCAATCATTCATTCAATTAATCAATCAATCAATCAATCAATCAATCAATCAATCAATCAATCAATCAATCCATCAATCAATCAATCAATCAATCAATCAATCAATCAATCAATCAATCAATCAATCTATCTATCTATCTATCAATCAATCAATCAATCAATCAATTAAATCAATCAATATTTTAAAAAGACAAATCAAGCGTCAACATGGGTATTATAAAGATTAACAAAATACTACTTAAAAAAATCTAATCAATGAAAAACATCCCAGGTATTCTTTCATTTTTTTTTATTAAAGTAAGTTTATTTACAGTTTTTGTAATATTTATTTAAATATAACAAAATAATTTATGAATATTGTGCTATATAAATATGATAAAAGTATAATGTGTTTTGTTATTTGCTTTTTGTAAAAGAGTTAATATATAGCATAAAATAATTATATATATTGTGCTATATAAATATTATACATAGTATATTACACTCTACAAAATCCATATTTTTTTATATTTTAGCCATTTTTAAATGTATTGTTATTTATTATATTTATTTATTTGCAGTTGGTTCATAAAACAATGATGTTTATTTTCTGTTTTTGTATTTTTTAAAATATGAAATAATGTAATTTATAAATATTTTATATAAATATCATTTATAGTATATTATACTAAATAATAATAATAATAATAATAATAATAATAATAATAATAATAATAATAATAATAATAACAACAACAACAACAACAACAACAACAACAACAACAACCATAGATATATACATTAGATGTCGCCTGGCCTATTGTTGTCTATTGGACTGAATGCATCAATAGCGCCGCCATCTTGCTACAGGGTAGCGCTCCTTTGAAATTAATGCGGGACCAATGTACAATGGAGGACTGTGGCCATCCAAAGCCAGAGATATACACATATACACATATATCTATGATCGGGAGTTTTCCTGGATGTTATTATGTAATTTTTTTTTTCTAATAACGAAAATTATCATTTTACATCACTTTTCTACATTGATGGATCAGTGACCGCACGGGCATTCCTGACAAAGAGCTTGTGTTTGTGTGTACAGAAATGTACTATTCACCCTCCCTGTTAAATTTGATCTAATCATGTCCTGAAACACACCTCCTCTCCTGCTTTCACTTCTCATACTGACGGAGGGAGCGACTCGCTTGTGAATGAATCCCCCGAACGACTCTTTTACTAACGTTAGCCGACAATAATAAAAGTTTCTGGCAGCGCAGCATCTCGTTGTCATATTTCTTTTGCATTGTTTGCTGATTTTATTCAACAAAACTAGCATAAGCCGAGTGTTTAGTGCGAGTTGGAGCTGCTTTGCCATATGGTGAATGCAGTAAGTGACTTTTATCATCAATAACCTTACCTGATTAGCACAAAAGTTTAGAACATACAAAAACAGAAAAAAACCTAATATTACCTATGAAATGTTCTGCCTTTGTGCTTTGTTTTCTTTGTTTGCTCGTTACTACACCCGTAGACAGCGCTAAAGTCCCGCATCTGCACATAATAACACTGTCTTGACTAGTGCGGTTGAATGACATTTGTCCCGGGAGCACTGTACCAATGTGGCGGCGCTATTGACGCATGCTCAGGGTCCCTATGCGATATCTAGTGTATATATCTATGAACAACAACAACAACAACAATAACAATATAGTTTTTACCCAAACTTAAATGGCCTATCCTAACCAAGCAAGATATTTCATAACATTTCAACATCAAGATCTGTTTTTGTTCTCATGATGAATGTCAGTGGGGCCTGAGATAACAATCAACCCTATCAACTTTCCCTTTACAGACAAAATCCCTGAAATATCTTCCACAACATCATCTTTTGTGTTTCAAATAAAAATATAAGTCATGCAATATTAAAACCACAAGAGCCTGAGTAAAAACAAATGAATTTTCAATTTAACTAGCCTTTTGATAGCGTACAGTACACAGATCTTAAATATTAATGCATTTCATTTAATTAAAGAGTCAGAAGAGGTGAAAGAGGACATAAATCACATTCTTTCCATTCATGCAGCAAAAAACCCTGACTAAGTGGACATCAGGGGAGAGGAAACATAATAAATATGTAGGAAATGACCCCAGAACAGATGTGCATGTTAAAAAGACATTACACACATACAAATACACACACACATAGTAGAGGTAACACCGTGTCCTTTGCCAGGTATTTATCATGCAGATCAGATCAGTCAGTAATGAGAGCATTCATATTCTCCAGGCAGGACGAGACGCTTTATTTAGGCCGAGCCAGACAGACACATTATTTCATTTACATGTCTGCTTTATCTGTTTTCCCTGTTATTTTGTCCTGTAAACAGATTTCTCCTACCTGAGGGTACAGAGGCGGGGTTGAAGGGGGTGAACAGTTCGGATGGGGTCTGGTGGGCCAGCAAGGGGTCCAGAGTGTTAGCCGGAGATGCTGGAGTCTGTGGAGAAGCAAAACCAGACGGGATTATCTATAAAACCTGATTTGCTCAATAAATCGCTTAACTAAAATGGGTGTAATGGTGCACAAAAATAACAGTTCACTAAGCACCTCAGGATAATCCAAAAATGTAAATGTGCTGTTAATTTTCTCACTTCTTATGCCATCTAATGGGCCATCTACCCAACCATGTTTTCGGCCAAAAGTGAGAAGTATCATTTTGCCTGTTAATTTACATGACAACAGTATTTTTAACCTGAAAACGAATACATTTGAAAGCATGTTACAAAGTGGACGGTTTTGAAAACAGCACTGTTGTCATGTCTGTATAAACACCCCAAAACAAGAATCTATGAAAACAAAAACGATGTTGTGCGCTTTTTTTAAGATTTCACTTTTTTTAATGCAAAGGATTTTTTTTTCCAATTTTAGCTATATCGCTGTCATTTAAACATAGTCTGAAAAAGCAATTGCCTTTTTTACCCCAGTAAAACATCAAATAACATTAAATCTTTTGACAGATTAGCTCATGATAACTTCGCTTATGATAAAAAAATAATAGTAATAATACAAATAAAGATTTTTCTGTGCAAATTTCTGACTGCAAAAACTCTCGTTTCTAATTCACTAATTCATTAATTCACTAATTTTAGTGTGGCACACTTGTTCAAAAACATTATATTATATTATATTATATTATATTATATTATATTATATTATATTATATTATATTATATTATATTGCATTGCATTATATTATATTATATTATATTACATTATATTATATTATATTATATTACATTACAATACATTATATTATATTATAATATTTTATTTTGTATTATATTATATTACATTATATTATATTACATTATATTATATTTTATTATATTATAATATTTTATTTTGTATTATATTATATTATATTATATTATATTATATTATATTATATTATATTATATTATATTATATTATATTATATTACATTATAATATATATTTTGTATTATATTATATTATATTATATTAAATTATATTATATTATATTATATTATATTATATTACATTATATTACATTATATTATAATATTTTATTTTGTATTATATTATATTATATTATATTATATTATATTATATTATATTATATTATATTATATTATATTATATTATATTATATTACATTACATTATAATATAATATTTTATTTTGTATTATATTATATTATATTATATTATATTATATTATATTATATTATATTATATTATACTATATTATATTATATTATATCATATTATATTATATTATATTATATTATATTATATTATATTATATTATATTATATTATATTATATTATATTATATTATATTATATTGTTTTATTTTATAATTTATTTTTGTATTCGTTTGGTACAGACACATACCAAACCAAAATCGAAATATGTGCACAATGTATCATTAAAAACTTAACTATAAATGTGTTCCAAATGCCATAGTGTTTACATATTGCTTAGTTAATATGCAGTGCACGCTGTCATGCTGGAGTGACTCACCGAGGGCGATGTGATATCTGGAGGGGTGGACATGTCTCCAAAAAGCTCTAACTGGTTGATATTCTGCAGATGAAAGAAGAACATTTGCAGCATAAAATCAGACGCGTTTCACTTCAGCACTCGCTGTCAGTCATCTTTTTCACAGTATAGTGGCTCATACCTCTGGACACACAGTGATTTGGATATACAAAGTGACTTATGGAAATGGTGGTGGGTTATTGTATAATGATATCAAATTATTGAAAAGATGATGATTATGACTTTATTCCTATCTATCTATCTATCTATCTATCTATCTATCTATCTATCTATCTATCTATCTATCTATCTATCTATCTATCTATCTATCTATCTATCTATCTATCTATCTATCTATCTATCATCTATCTATCTATCTATCTATCTATCTATCTATCTATCTATCTATCTATCTATCATCTATCTATCTATCTATCTACCTATCTCTCTATCTATTCATTATATGTGCATGTAGCAAACATCGATGAATTCCCATGTCTAATTTCTGCTCTCTAAGACTGATCTTTTGCTCGGGTCTTCAGGGAGAAAGTCGGCTCATAAATTTAACCACAATTCGTTCACTGGCTTTCAATAGAATACCATGGATTTGCATAAAATCAAATCATGAGCTAATTTCTGAGAAGATAATGAGGGTATTTCATTGGGATGTATCCTGTATTCAGAGCTATTTCTGTACAAGGGCATGCCTGGTCCACAAGGATTTCATTTTTTTTAGTCATTTTGACTTCTAAGGGTCAAAATGACTAAATTATTTTATTTTATTTTATTTTATTTTATTTTATTTTATTTTATTTTATTTTATTTTATATGTTATTTTATTTTATTTTATTTTATTTTATTTCATTTCATTTCATTTTAGTTTAGTTATTATTTATTTATTTATTTATTCATTCATTCATTTATTTATTCATTTATTTATTTAAGTATTTATTTATTTATTTATTATACAATTATTTATTTATTTATTTATATTTTATTTTTATTCATTTATTTATTCATTTTATTTTATTTTGTTTTATATTTTATTTATGTATTTTTATTGTTATTTTATAATTTAATTTAATTTAATTTAATTTAATTTAATTTAATTTAATTTTTAAATATTTACATTAACTGTATTTTACATACAGTTAAAGGCAAAATTATTACCCTGTGCAATTTTAATTATTTGTGATGTTTAAAAGAGCAAGAACATTTCCACAGTATTTCCTATATTATTCAAATATCTTAATTTTTGAGACAGGAATAAAAGCAGTTTTGTAAAACAATGTTTAAGGTAAAAAAAAAAAAAAATCTCCCTAAGAAATAAAGATTTTTTTTCTTAATACCCTAGTTAAGCTTTTACATAGCACTTTAAACTGAATGCATGTATTTAGAAGTACATATAAAAAATGAACTATCCCTATATAACTACATTGAAAACTTAAATTTACACTGAAATTGTTATTTTATTTATTTTATTTAATTTATTTAATTTTTAATTTTTAATTTAATTTAATTTAATTTAATTTAATTTAATTTAATTTAATTTAATTTAATTTAATTTAATTTAATTTTATTTTATTTTATTTTATTTTATTTTATTTTATTTTATTTTATTCATTTTAATTTATCCACTAATTAATTTTTATTTTATTTTATTTTATTTTTGATTCATTTATCTATTCATTTTTATTTTATTTTATTTTGAAAGTCGAAAACAAAGATTTTTTTTTCTTAATACCCTACTTAAGCTTTTACATAGCACTTTAAACTGAATGCCAGTATTAAAAATGTATGTATAAAAATTAACTATCCCTATATAACTACATTGAAAACTGAAATTAACAAAGGCTTCATCACAGTGTTTCTGCTGTATTTTGTGTACGCCATGTCTTTTTTAAGAGTGTTTATCATAAAACTACAACAGCTGCTGGCAGAATCTTTTTCTGAGCTTTTTAAAGTAATAGAAAAACTTTAACAAAATCGTAAATGCATTTGCTTGAGGTCACAGTGTTCCTTCCTGTTGTTTTTTCACACCTACATACAGTACAATAATAATAATAAAAAACTAAAGTGCTTTATTTTTATGAAAGAATAACAATGTTCTCTTTTCTGATGCTTCCCTGGCATTTACTCATGGCTCTAATAATCTAGAAAAACCAAAAAAACATCACACAATAACATTAATACACTTGTGACCTTTGAGTCCAGTGTAAAATCTAACACATGGTCACGCGGGGAGACGTCCATCGGGATATTTCATCATTTATGAAGCGTGCAGTGGGGCAAAGGGGACACAAAATCCACCCTATTCAAGCAGGTGACTCTGGGGTCATCTATAAGAGCTCTGTCATTTGACTATGAAAAAGAAAGGTCAGCTTTGAGTGAGTGGCCTACTTCCAGGAGACTAGTTGAAAAGGAAAAGCATGAGGCAGGGGATTTTGGCAGGGCTATAAACTGTTCGTAGCGGGTAGCGTGACATTTACTTTCCTGCACAGGGACTGGACTGGAGTCTAGAGTGGGCCATAGTGCATTACTTATCACTAGATTAGTGCTAGAGGAGCTTTCTTGGGTCGTTTGCAATCAAAACGTCAACTCATTTGAGGAAAGATGTGGGGGAATTTTCGGGACTCATTTTGGTTCCACCTTACCTGCGTGAGCAGCAACACGTCAGTGTCTAGATCCAAGAGATCGAGCTGTTCTTTATGTTTGTTCTGTAATGATAACATGGTGTTAGATGAAGGATGAGATGGTGTGCACTGAAATAAAATATATATAAAAATGAGGTCAAATGAGATTAAATGAGGTCTATTTTGGGGTGGGTGAAGTGTGGTTAGATGGGATGGATGGTACTTTACCTGTTCGGGTAAACACGTTTTTATCTTGCTACCAATTCATGGCTTTTTGCATTTCACCAGTTTATCTTTCAAGTGCAGATTGGAACCAAACGTAATGCACTGCTGAAAAATGATTTCATTTCAGGTCTTAAACAAGATGCATTTACTGAAGGTTAAGGATGTTCCAATCAAATTTCGTCTGTTCGCAATCCAATCTGAGCTATTTAAGATTGTTTCTGCAGATACAGAGTTACCATGTTGGGTATGTTATTTAGGAATTAATTACCAATTGCATAATTGTAATTGCATATAAATAACTCTTCTAAATACTTTGTATGAAATCAACAAATTAACAATTGTATAGAATTACTCAATGGTAATTACATTACTTGACTTACTACTACTTAAAATTCATATACAATCGAAGTCAAAATTATTAGCCCCCTTGTTTATTTCCCCCCTTAATTTCTGTTTAGCGGAGATGATATTTTTTCAACACATTTCTAAACATAATAGTTTTAATAACTAATTTCTAATAATTAATTTATCTTTGCCATAATGACAGTAAATAATATTTTACAATATATTTTTCAAGATACTTCTATACAGCTTAAAGTGTCATTTAAAGGCTTAACTAGGTTTATTAGGTTAACTAGGCATTAAAGCTTAAAGGGGCTAATAATATTGACCTTAAAATGGTTCATAAAAAAATAAAAACTGCTTTTATTCTAGAAGAAATAAAACAAATAAGACTTTCTCCAGAAGAAAAAAATATTATCTGAGATACTGTGAAAATTTCCTTTTTCTGTTAAACATGATTTGGGGAGGTATTTAAAACATAAAATAAAATGCAAAGGCGGGCTACTAATTCTGACTTCAACTGTATCTATCAAATGTAAAACAAGTTGATTATCCTGAGCTTGAAAATCATTTTATTTTTTGCAGCATGCAAGAACAAACTGTATTTATCTTCGCTAACTTAAATTCCACAGCCACAGTCAGGAACTGTAATTGGTGGAAGGAGGAATCAAGCTTTAAAAAATAAAATAATAATAAAAAGATTTTTAACCAGCTGCCAGCAGGCTTTAATGAGAAAATAATGTGCTCAAATGGGCGTCCCTTGAGATAACATGGGAAGAGCAAAAGACCATGAACAACAGCTGCTCAAATCTTACATTTTTGTGCTGCTGAAAAAGCAACACATGCGAGGAGAGGCACAGACCACGACATTGAAAAGCCAACAAATAACACCAAGATCACTTTCTTTAAAAACATGGTTTACTTGGTTAGCCGGAAAACGTATATATTTTTTCCGCCATAATTCGACGTGCTTGAAAAAACAAAAACGTACATTTATTTGATAACACTTTACAACAAGGTTCCATTTGTTACCATAACTTAATCATTCGAATGAAAATAAATAAATAAATAAATAAATAAATATATAGGAAATTTGAAAAATATTACATGGATGACAACTAATTAAATACAAAAAAAAAAAAAAAAACATTCATAGTGACTTCTGATTTCAGTTGAATTTATCAATCAATTTTCCCATTAACCAAGTAGACAAAAAGTAGCACCGACAACAAAAACAAACACACACAACATCTGAACCAACGGCCACAAAAACACTTAAATACAAGTACATGCAGTAAATGTCAAGCAAGAACTGTCTCTAGGTCAGCTTGGGTTGCAGAAGCTGGTGACAGCAGAGCTGGTTATGTCTGAAAGCCTCTCTGTGTTAGTGCTTGCCGTACATGTTAGCATTTAGTTTTAAGAATGAAAGGATGACGTCTGAGAAAAAAAAAAAAAACACTGCTAGGGATGTATTATATTAGCTTATGAATAGTGGGTATGAGTAGATGCACAAACGTGAAGGAGAGCAGAACTCATGTGAGAAAGAGATGGAGATAAAGTGCCAATAAAGCTTGATTGCTTGCCAGCTTGTTTGGTTGTTTGTTTGTTTGTTTGTTTATTTATTATTACTTTATTTTGAATTAAATTTTTAATCACTTCTTCAGTTTAATTATGAAAGCATAAAAGTACAAAGACAAGACATTGCAGGAGAAAAGAGAAATAAATAAATAAATAAATAGTTCATCAGCATACCTTCCCTGTTGACTCTTTATTTTGAGACTAGTGGAAATGTATTACACATTTTCTAAAATACTATTTTATGCTTGAATATGCAAATAAAGCATTCTTATTATATACTATATATTAGCGGTTTTCTTATTTCTTTTTTTTTTTTTTTTTTTGGAAAATCCAAAAAGCCCCAAATCCCAAAACTGACAGATATATAACATATCCAAATGATAAAACAGTCTCCATTAGCCAACAATTTGCAACTCACAAATAAGGCTCAAAAAAGCTAAACATCTGATTTGCCCCTGTTATGTTTTCATGGTGTTATGGCGTTAGTTTGATGTGGTTTGATTTTGAAGGTCATTAAGCTGAAACCAGTGCTCTAAACCACCTCCAGCAGCTGAATTAAACACCTGTAATATTACCAGCCATCAAATCAATCTCTTTACACACCCCTGAGGTCACCATTCAGGATAATAGGGAAGATGACAGGTGGTCCTCATAGTGATGAACTGTGTCAGTCAAAGCGGCTTCTGACACCTTATAACTGATGGATATCACCAGTGGCGATAACCAGCTTCTTATCTGTTATTATCACAAGCTGTGCACGTATGACTTGTATGATATATTGTAATGCTGTAACTGAAATTACAGCATTTACACTAAACAGTCTCCATGGCAACATTTGGAACAGCGCTGAGGGTAAATATTATATTTCATGCAACTGTTTGCTTATTTTGCCACAATCCATCTTTCTACTTTTCTATCATCATTATCACTTCAAGCGACTATCAATTAAGCGTCCCCTCGGAGATAATAATTATCTTTGCAGTGTCCTGTGCACTTTTAGTGCTGCCCATTTCATTACAGCTGGAGTGTTATTGTCCTGTGCTCTGACTGATCATGTAGCCATGGGCATAAAACCAACTGAGAAGCGCAGCTCAGAAATTAAATAATACATGGAGAAGTAAGAGGGGGGAAAGAGCAGCAACACCACAGAGTTATTCAAGGTAAGGCTTCTGTAAGTACTATTAAGCAACAGTTCAGTTTTTAATAGAGATACATATAATTCTCTAAAAATAAATAGAATAAATTTACCTTAAATAATGAATAAAATGTTTAATTAATGTGCAAACACACAGTTGAAATGTATGGTAAACACAGTTTGGGTGACCTTGTGGCCATTTCTGTTGTGAAGAATAGCATTGTTTTATTTTATGTATTTTCTAGTGTTTTGGAGGAATGTTGTTTATTAAAAAGTGCAAAAAATAAGCAGAGCACGAAGAAGAACAAAAACAAAATGCACACATTTAAAAAACCAAAAGAACCAAAAAAACAAACAAAAGAAAACTGAAAAAAAAGAGGGTAAGCAAAAACAAACCAAAACCATAAAACCAAAAACAAAACAAAAAGCAATGAATAAAGAAAAAACTAAATGGAAAAACAAACAACAACCAAAAACTCAAAGCAAGGCTAGCCAAAACAAAAGAAAACTGAACAAAGAAAACGAAAGTGGGTAAAAAAAAAGTGTAAATCAAACACAAAAAACAAGCAAACAAAAAAGCAACGAATAAAGCAAAGCAAAACCAAAATGGAAAAACAAACAAAAAATCTAAAAAACTAAAAGCATGGCAAGCCAAAAAAAAAAAAAAAAAAAAAAAAAAAAACTGAACAAAGAAAACAAGAACAAAAAAAAGAAAAAAAAAAGAAAATGAATGTAAACCAAAGACAAAACAAACAAACAATAAACAAAACCTAGTAACACAAAACAAGGTGCAGCATAACAAAAAGTAATGAATAAACCAAAGCAAAACAAAATGAAAAAAATATATATATATATTAAAAGCAAGGCTTGTCAAAACATAAAAGCTGAACAAAGAAAACAAAATAAAGTAAGCAAAAACAAAAACAATTCAAAACATAAAGCAACAAATAAAGCAAAGCAAAAACAAAATGGAAAAACAAGAAACAATCTTAAAAACTAAAAGCAAGGCTAGCCAAAACAAGAAAAACTAAACAAAGAAAACAAAAGGAAGTAAGCAAAAACTAAAACAATGTATATCAAAAAAAAAAAAAAAAAAAAAAAAAAAACACAACCAAAAGCAATGAATAAAGCAAGCAAAAACAAAATGGTAAAACAAACAAAAAATCTAAAGTCTAAAAGCAAAGCTAGCCAAAACAAGGAAAAACTCAACAAAGAAAACAAAGGAGAGTAAGCAAAACATAACATAACATAACAATCAAAAAACCAAACAAAACCTAGTAAAACAAAACAGGGTACAGCAAAACAATACAAATGTATAAAGCATAGCAAAAACAAAACACAGACAAAGTAAATCAAAAAGCTAAAACTAAACAAAAACAAGCAGCAAATTTAAAAAAAAAAAAAAGCAAAGCAAAAGATCAAATCAAATTAAAGCACAAAACAAAGAACACAACATCTAGCCACTACAAATAGAGCATTGGTAGTATGTTTCAATTAATAATCACGATGCTCATTGTACAAAACATATACACTTAGTTTTTCTAAAAATGTGTATTTAAAAATTGCACTACACTGAAAAACACCAAAGTGTAGCAGCTATAATATTAAACTAATCTAAAAAGCATGAAAATAAGTTTGAACTTCCAATGTAGAGTAGGTGCAGACGCACAACACAAAGCAGATTTACAGCCAAACAGTTCAAAAAGCCAATTCCGTAGAGCTGAAGTTATTTTAAAGGATGAAGCTGTGCAGATTTTGATTAGACAGGAATGAAAAAGCTGTGGAAGGCAGGATCAAGAGGCCACACAACTTAGATTGAAACAGGAGAAGAGGACGAAGGCTGGAAATGTGCGTAGAGGAAGAGAGAAAAGAGTGAGTGGGTGTTTGAAAACATGATGAAGAGGTGAAAGAAGCCAGACAGTGGAATGAAAACTCAACCGAAGCATTGTTTTTCAGGTCTGGAGGGACTCAAACAACTGAATATTGAGATCAAACTCATCCAACGCCAGGGTAAGAGCGACTTTTCTTGGGTTGCATGTGTTGTGATGGTGAGTTTAGGCATTTAGGTGAGCTAAGACTGAATGAACAGAGCAGCTGTAACACAAGAGAGGTAAAGACAGCAGAGATGCTGGCCAGAACATGAAATAAAATCAGCCATTTTTATATCAGTGTACATGTTGAGGCCAGATGGCCTGATAAGTAGTCTACCATTTAAAGAGAGAGAGCAAAATTCACCATTAAACTATAGAGCAGTTGATCTGTCATCTTTGCCTTCTCTCATTTAAATGGATTTATCTGACAACCCACTTAAGCAATGCAAACTTTTTATCTTTTAATGTAGATCATGCATGAATCACAGACGTTCACGTTCAAGCATTGAAGGAGAAGTTCACCCAAAACTTAACTTTTGTTATCAAATTTGCATGAATTTTTATTTATTTATTTTTATTTTATCTTTTTATTTAATTGCAGAAGTTATTTATTTTTTATTTTTTATTAACAGGGTTTTGGTGAATAATGACCTTAGACACTGACTTCACAATACCTTCAAAAGGCGAGTAAATCAATAATTACTTTAACAAACAAAACAAACAAGAAAAGTAGACCAAAACAAAAAGAAAAATATAACGATGTACAAAAAGCAAAGCAAGAAACACATAATCAAATCAAAATGAAAGAAAAACAAATCAAATCAAAGTGAGGCAAAGTAAAAGCAAAACTAAATAAATAAGTAAAGAAAATTACACAATAACACCAGTATAAAATAACGAAGTTAAAGTGAAAAAGCTAAACAAAAGCAAACCAAACCAAACAAAAAAGCAAATTAAGGTAAGACAAATTTATCAAAGACAAAAAAAAATAAAAATAAATAAATAAAAAGATAAAACAAAATAAAGCAAAACATAGCTAAACTAAAAAGTTGTATTAAAGTAAAACAAAAGACAGACAAAGCAAACAATCTGAAGCAAAGCAAAAGAAAAGACAAAACAAACAAACAAACAAATAAAAACAAATCAAAACAACATACAGTTATCAAAGACAAACAAAACAAAACAAAACAAGCATAAAAGTTGTATCAAAGTAAAGCAAAAGACAAACAAATTAAACAATTTGAAGCAAACCAAGGTAAAAGACAAAACAAAACAAAACAAAGTAAGATAAATTTATCAAAGACAAACAAAACAAACATAAACGTTGTATCTAAGTGAAACAAAAGACAAACAAATCAAACAATCTGAAGCAAAGCAAAGTAAAAGACAAAACAAGCAAGCAAACAAACAAACAAACAAACAAAAATCTAAGCAAAATAAATTTATCAAAGACAAACAAAACAAAATAAAACCTGTATCAAAGTAAAACAAACGACAAACAAATCAAACAGTTAAAGCAAATTAAAGTTAAAGACAAAACAAAACAAAGCAGGATAAATGTATCAAACAAAACAAAACAAAACAAAACAACAATCAAACACAAAAGTTGTATAAAAAAAAAACAAAAGACAAACATGTCAAATAATATGAAGTGAAGAAAAAAAAACAAGACAAAACAAAACAAAAAAGCAACTTAAAGAAAAATAAATTGATCAAAGACATACAAAACAAAACAAAAAAAGTCGTATTCAAGTAAAACTAAAGACAAACAAATCAAACAAACCAAAGCAAAGCAAAGCAAAGTGAAAAACAAAAAACAAAACAAAAGCTAAACAAAACAAAAACAAATGCAAAATGCAAAAGTATGTGGGAAAGTATATCATTTTAGGTGAACTCTCTGCTTAACTTGCTTCACGAGTCTGAAATGCCATCATAAATGCACATCTGTTCTTATCATGAAGTGAAGGCAAGCAAGCATCATGCAAAACCGACCAATCACATCACAACCACCACCCAAACAACATGACGTTTTCAAAAACACACACACATATACACACAATAAAGATCGGCCATCAAGGAACAAGCACAAATATCACACACTTACACAAACACCGGGGTAAAATTAAGAGTGCACAGTCTGTGTGATTGACTGTAAGCTGGGGAATGTAGCTGTGCAGTACATGCTTGGTGGTATGCAAGTACATACTAAAAGATTTGCCAGAGAAAGAGGCACAGAATTGTCACATATAAAAAAACACACACAGGTCCACTCACTGGATGTCGCTTTGGGACGTCATAAACTCCCTCCTTTTGTTGGCTGGTAGGGACCTGGTGTGGACAGCAAGCCCAGCCAAATGTACAGTTAACATCACAAGTTACCATTCGTTCAGATCTTACAAGGTCAAAGCAGTTTAGGCTTCCTGGAGAGCAAAATCAATTTTTATTTTTTTTTTCTATCTTTTGTGTTTGTGTGTATCTTTGCAATGTGTTATGTTTTAATTAATAAAGACATTTAAGATGCTAAATAAGGCATAGTGGAATAATGAATAATACTTTTTTTGGTTTGTTTTTAGTAAAAAAAAAAACATAAAAGTAATTATAAACAACTGTAAATTACTATAGATAACAGCAGTTTAGCTAATTGTTTGCATGACAAATGCTTTTATAATAATAATAATAATAATAATAATAATAATAATAATAATTTATTATTATTATTATTACTATTATTATTATTATTATTATTGTTATTATTGTTATTATTATTATTATTATTATTATTATTATTATTATTATTATTAAAATAAATAAATAAATAAATAAATAAATAAATAAATAAATAAATAAATAAATAAATAAACATAATTTGACCTAAAATATCAAGTTTGGTGTTTTAATTATTAATAAACTGCAAGATGCAGAATAGTTCTGTTCAAACTGACATTTCACACGAATAATGCGTTTTTCAGAATATATTTTTGATGTATATAGAAAATATTTTTATATACAGTTGTTATGAATGTATGCATAATAAGTAAATAACTACGAACTATAAATAACAATAACAGAATTTATTATCAACATGACTAATAAAATAAGACATAAAACATAATTTGACCAAAACTATTAACTATGAATGTCTATTAACTGATTGACTGAATAATGAATCGGTTTACGTCATGTTTAAAATTCTGCACCATAATTTGTAACTTTTTATCAGACTCACATGAAGACGCACATCCATTTTCTTTTTTTTAACCACCGCTTGTTATTTTCATGTCTTCTCTCTGTCTAATTTGCCATTGTTCTTAATTCCCCTCTTGCTGAGAAACTGATTGCCGCTGTGTTTTTTATTTGATCATACACTTGAAGTGATCTTTCCATTTCCTTTATTCAAAGATCACACAGCGACAGCCATGATTAATCATTCTCGCTCTTTCATTTGGAGAAAGGGCAGAGGTGTTTAGAGTCATTTCTCTGTGCAGACTTTGGAAAGCTCTGTCTGATCAGTGTCAATCCCTCAGTCATGCTATGCAAACTTTACCAGGGCTGAAACTACCCAGGACCCAAGGGGCCCGCTGGAGGTCAAGGTTTCTTTTGTTGTGTAGTGTTGGCTGCACTATTGGTGCTATACTGTATTATTCTTCAAGGTTATGAGCAGTGGTGGGAGTAACGAATTACAACTACTCACGTTACTGTAATTAAGTACATTTTTGGGGTAATTGTACTTTCATGAGTAGAATTTTAAGCCTGTAATTTTACTTGTACTTGAGTACAAATTAAGCTGAGTAATCTACTTCGTTACTTTTAAAATCACAATTCGTTACAGAGTACTGTAAATAAACTAATATTTCAGCCACGCACTGACCAGCATTTCGGTAGCCAATAAAAAAAGCTGATCTTAACGGACCAATAAAAAGCCTGGTACATTATTTGAACCGAAAAACAAGTTCAGGCTACTGCAGATTTACGTGACCGTCATCATACAGTCACAAAGTTATCAATTACATATGGAGATTTAAGACAGAAGAAATGAGGAGGAAACAGCAGAGGATGAATGCCCATTGCCACACAGGAGCTGTTCACCTACAGGTACATAGGGAAAAAAGGGGACAGCTGTGCTGATGTGAATAGCTGGTATCATCTAAAATGCTAATTAAATGTATGCCCAAAACTGGAATATCGCATAAAAGACTGCAAATAAAGCAGCGTTTCTGTCCAACAAGTCAAAGACAAAATTGCCACCTGATTAACTGGCGACAAATATCAAAAGTAAAAACAGAATTAGCATCAGTAGGAGCAGCTGCATGAATAAATTATCTTCATTTAATAAGTGACTTGCGCATCAGAAGGCAATCCTGCACGCAGTGAACGCGCGCTGGAAGGCGGGAGACACGGAGTGCAGGCACTCTTGACAATTCTGGAGGTCATTATTAATATAATATAATACTGAAATGGTTGAGGCGGTTTAAAATGACCAAAACAACACTTTAGATGTTTTACAATGTGCTTAGCCTGCTGGTTTGTCCATTCACACACATTTTCAAAATATATGCGCATTATAGCGTTTCCATCAACCGTTTTTATGTGCATATCCAAAAAGCGCAAAAAAAGGTGGATGAAACCTGCCCTCTGCTGTACCATCCGGCTTACACAGGGTTTCCGTGGGGTCTTAAAATCTCTAAAATATAAACATCTAAATTTTAGGCCTTAAAAAGTCTCAAATTCGCTGTTCTAGGTCTGAAATATGTTTGCACAGGTCTTATTTTTCCGATGTACATGTAACGCTACTCCTAATGCTCATTTAATTTTTTTTTGTTGTTGCTTGGTTTCGTGGTGGTGTAGTTCTTTATTTCACTATTCCTATTGTAATTTGCAGTATTAAAACTACAAATAAGAAAAGACCAGCATGCAATAGCTCAGTGCGCGCGGCGAATGTGACGTCATCGCCGTGTTTGCGGAGGTTCACTTTGGACGCGCGCGACATGATTTCGGGTGAACAGTTCGCGCGGCGCCGCGCTTGATTTGAGTTGAATTTGAATCACTTTGAAGAGATTTTGTCTGTTACAGTACGACTGTACAGACATCTTAACTATCCGACCATGCGTGATCAGCATAGAGATGACCAGATGACCAATAATTCTTGGCTAGAAATTGCAACAGCCATGGAAAGGAAGTGTTTTGTTAAAGTTTGGAAAAACCTGGGGGATAAGTTTGTTACAACAAAAAAGAGGCCATGGCAAAAGTGGAGACCCAGGTGGTTTTAAGATTACAGAATATGTTTTTTCACCATTTATTGGTTTTAAACTGATGTATCATTTTGAAGTTAAAGCAATGTAAAAAAAATTAAGTAACAAATTAAGTATTTGATAACTGGAAAAGAATATATGAGCCCATCGGCTTACAGTGTACTCATGCTTAATTTCTAGGCTTTATTGGTGATAATAGACAGGATTGTTGGACCATTATTGCCTTTTCAGCTCATTAGTAGAGGACAGAAACTAGCCAGACAATAATGTGTCAATTGTTGAGTGGGCATTCTGGGCAAAAAATAATATATATATATATATATATATATATATATATATATATATATATATATATATATATATATATATATATATATATATATATATTTGCTATTATTCTTGCCAGAATAAAAAAAAACAATTGTAGAGTAACCCATGTTCTGTTGTCATTGATATTTAACTTTAATAGGTAGAACTGTCTGAGATATAAACACAAGTGAGTGATGCATCAAACTCTAATTAAAAAAATCTTGAATAGTTATAAAACTTTATAATCATTCATTAATTTTCTTTTTAGCTTAGTTCCTTTATTAATCTGGGGTCGCCACAGCGGAATGAACCGAATGATTTATCAGCATATGTTTTACACAGCGGATGCCCTTCCAGCTGCAACCCATTCTCATTTACAATAACAGACAATTTAGCTTACCTAATTCACCTAAAATGCATGTCTTTGGACTGTGGGGAAAACCGGAGCATCTTGAGCAAACCCACGCAAACACGGGGAGAACATGCAAACTTCACACAGAAATGCCAACTGACCCAGCCAAGGCTTGAACCAGCGACCTTTTTGCCTTGAGTCGAGAGCGCTACCCACTGCCCCACCCCGTCACCCAACTTTGTAATCATAATAAATTATAAAAATAATGAAAAATAATTATTTTTAAAATCTTGAACAATATTAAAGATATGACGTAGTTCTGAAAACGTTTTACTTCTCTGTTTATCCGTCTGACTTTACAGTGAGGTTTCTTTTGACTGGCCCCTGATGTTTTAAAGAATATCACAATGACGAACACGTCTAGTATTAAAGCCTCATCCATTTCGTGAGGTGCGCGCACAGTCAGCGGAGGTGTGCAATGCGGAGCCAGGCGAAAGTATAAATCAGCCTCAAAATATTTGTTTCTTTGTTTTTTTGTTCCTGCACTTCAATGGTGCATCTAACCTGTCTTCAGTACTGTTCTATTTAAATCATTTTATTTTACCACAAATTTTGTGTTTTTGCATTTTCTCTTGCATGCTTTTGATATTGTGATATAGGTCTTAAATTTAATACTTTATGGTCTTAAAGAGGTCTTAAAAAGTCTTAAATTTGACATTATGATATCTGCAGAAACCCTTTTTTTAAGACTTCAATCTATAATCTAAAAAAAAAACATTATGGTAAGAAGACATAACTTAATTTGTGTGATATTATATTTATTAATAATATGTTTAGGCACTAGGCAGTGTTGTTCTGTGGTTTCTGACGGTTCAGTTCGCGAATTATGTAATTAACAAAGTTTCTCCATAATTTGCAAGTGTTTTTTTTTAATTTATTACATCATCTATTGATCGTACAGATAAAAGAGGCATGATTTGAAATGATAAAAAGTCGTGCATTTGTGCATATTTCTGTTATCTTTATACTCAAAATAACAAAACATTGTTTTTGTAAAATAATCATGGTGCGCAGTGGGTATTGTTATCGCCTCAAAGTAAAAAATTTGTTGGTTCAAGCCCTGGCTGAGTCAGTTGGTGTTTCTGTGTGAAGTTTGCATGTTTTCCCCATGTTGGCGTGGGTTTCCTCTATAGGTGCTCTATAATTATTATCTATAATTAATGCTGTTTACACAGTTTTAAAAGTGTTTATAGCATCTTTAAATGTGTTATGTAAAATGTGTTTTACTGCCTGGATCTTGTCTGACTCCGCATTTATGGATAATTCCACCAATACCGCCAAGCTAAAAAAGTAATTTGTAATTTTGTAATTTGAGTAGTTTTTACGAAGAGTAATTTGTACTTTTACTTGAGTACTTT